AACAACGTACTACTACACGAGAGAGAGAGAGAGAGAGAGAGAGAGAGAGAGAGAGAGAGAGAAGGATAGGTAGATCGAATCGGAGAGATTAACTCGCGGTGTGTCGTTGGCGAGCAGGTAACGAAGAATTTCGTCATCGATATTTCGCGTGTAGAAACGTTTGGAAAGTTTGCACAGCGCGGGACCGGTTCGAAGCGAGGCGAGGCGTGCAACGCAACGTCCCGGCTAAAGGAGAAAAATCTTGAAACGTCTATTTTTACGCGGCGACTGGAAATAGTTTAATGAAAGGAGGCACGCGATCGGCCGTACGTTGCTCCAGTCATGAGTCACGCTTCGAAAGCGGACTCGCAACAAGTAGAGATCTCCCGCGATGTCGGTTGCCAATTGATCGGGCCAACCGACGATGCAATTTCAATAATTCGATCATACCTCGAGTTAGGTTGGAGAAAAAAAGAAAAAAAAAGAAAAGCCAATAACAAGATGGATTTACAAGCTTTGATTGTTGAAATCACATCGCTACAATAACTACGACACGTTTGGACAATCGAATCTTAGCCAGCTCGCGTGCATCGAACGTGCAAAGGAGAGGAGGAGTAGTCTCGGGTGGTGGCGAAACAACGAAAACGTTCGATCGAATGGAAGAAAGCGGAATGCAATTTTTTGGGGAGAGAAAAATGGGTGCAAGCACGAATCTACGTGTACACACACATATATATATATACATACATATATATATATATATATACGAAAAAGAAGGATGAGGGGAGGTGAAAAAAAAGGTAACTAGATTGACACGGTTGTTAGATGGGCCAATACCTTAAGGTCGATCGAGTGGATAGCGGCGTTGTGCGACGATGCGTGTTGTTTCGCGTCATTGGCGCAATTCGCGTTGTTGTTAACGTTCGGCAGAGAGCCACCCGCCCTGAACTGATTCCCCAGGTTAATGTGCAGGTGTTTGCCGCTGGACTGCGGTGGGCTGGCGCCGGCACTCTTCACGGACAAAGGAGTCTCCAGTACCCCGGACCCCGTGGGGCTGGCGCACACCGAGCTGCTCGCCGAGTGGATCTAAGCAGGTCCATCGTTCGTACGGTCACCAACTTGATCGCTTCCCCTCACCAACAACAACTAACTCCCTCCATCCGCGTGTCTACGTTTCGATCGATTCGTGGAATTTTTTTCCCTCGAAAATTTTCAAAAATTTCGAATCTTGGAAGAGGAAGAATCTTGTTGTGTGGGGCTGACTGAGAGAGAAATATTGGTCGTTCTCCCTCCAAACGGATATATATCGTAGCCTAAAAGCCTACGTGACTTGTGTCCTGCCTGCATTCCTGTGCCCCCCAACCCTCTCCTTCCTTTTTTTCTTCCTCTCCTATCTTTCGTTTCTATCATTCGGAAGGGCCGAGAAATTCCAACGACTCGAAAGGAAAAACTCTGTTTGGGCAGACGTAACGTAATTCCTATCTTCGTTTCAGCTTCAACGTTTCGAGAAAATGCCGGGAGTAAACGAAACGCCGAGACGAGGTTAAAACGGTGGAAAATCGAACGTTGCGATAAAATCTTTATATATATATATTTCTTTTTTCTATAACGAAATTGCGCAATTCTCGCGGTGAAAGTATCAATTTTTTTCTTTTACGAGCGTACAACGCAACTTGTTTTGCATTCGATTAGGTCACGCTGCATTAGACCACGTGGCTCGCCGCCTTTCGTATCTCTCTTTCCGAGGGAGAACGCGGTAAATTTTTGCTAAATGTCGTTTCTAGTTGATTCGATTGTTAGGTAAAAAAAAAAAACAAAAAAAACAAAACGACGAACTGATCGATTATTCGGTAAATTAATTCGATGTCCGGACACGATCGAGAAATTTCTAGTGGAAATTTCGGATAAGTAACTAGAAACCGTAAAATATCACCATCCTCGAAAACGAAGTTAAACTGGGACCAGTTTCGTGCCCGCGCATACTTTCGTACTCGCACGTAACATCGTTTCTGATTCCCCTTCTTTTCTTGTTCCTATTCGTTTCACGGGTCATTTTACTAGACTTGCCTCGAGATATAACGAAAGTTTGGATTGATTTCATTTCGAAGCGACGAACGAATATTAGCCGAATTGATAATAATTAATATTCAATAATTCCGAAAATTGTTATATTTGCGAGATACGCACGATGAGAAAGAAGAACTCGTAATTGTGAGAAATATTCGAAACAGAGTGTAAACAGCGTTGAAATTGTTCCGATTTTATTAACAACGATCAATTGTTCTTCCCATTCGACTTGAGATTTAAACACGCGTGAGTTAGCACATCGGTTCTTCGAGCGATTAATCGCCGCGTTTGTAATCGTTATCGAGGCCGTTAACGGTATAATGATTCAGAGTCGTGCAACTGGACGATCGTTCGATCAAAAATTATAGTTCGGATCAAAGATCGCGTATAAGGCGCAAAAATGTTGCGTGGAATCGCGCAGACTAGACGCGAGAGAAGAAAACGAAGGATTACGTATAATAACGTTTGTACACGATCCATGATTTCGCCTGGTCAGGTCCAAGTTGATTAATAGAATTAACAGAATGCGTACACTGTTCGTGTGCGTCAATTACAACACGTACACACGCATACACACATACACGCATACGCGTGAGATACGATTTCTCGTAATATTATAGAATATTGTGTAATAAATATGGAACGACTTTTCTTCTTTAATATGAAACGCTTTGAAAATTCGTTAGCCGAAGATAGAAAGAAGCGTATCTTCTTAAAATTCTTATCACGACATGTCGAGATTAGTCGAATAATTCGATGATAATGCAACGAAGCGCGAAGAAAGAAATAAAGAGAAATGTGCGCGGGAATAATTAGATGCACGACTAAAAACATGTGTACACGCGAGCGCGCGCGCGGGCGCGCATTCTCAACGTCCAATAGATTAAGTCATAGTACCGTAAATAACGCCGCGATATCGACTGATCGAATATGAACTTTAACGTATAACGCAGCTTCCGCATTTAGTACAATGTTAGCAGTTATGTAATGACTGTACGATTATCGGAATGCTGTCCGATTAAAAACGCGCCAATTTCCCGCGAAACGACAATTTCCACGTAACGCCACGATAGAGGGCGCTAGCTCGTGAAAAAAAATGCGATCTGTAAACCTCACCAATTTTCTATCTTTCGTAGCTAAAAATATTGTCGCTTGAATCTACGCGCGATCCATCGCATCCACGTGCATTTTCAAAAAACGAACGAACGAACGAATGAACGTACGCGTGACAATTCCGGGATAATTGCTCAACGATAAATGGTTATAACTATATCTTTTATTATTGGAAAATCGAATTTATAAAATCATGGCTATCAATTGCGTAAGAGTACGATCGAATTTTAATCTTATCTCACTGATTTTTCATAGGCATTGACATTTCGAATCGATTAATAACAATACCGTCAATCTAAAAGCTATCGTTCGTTTTATCGTGCGAAACTGTAAACGTTAAGAAAAGCAATTTCGCGCAGAAGCAAGACGATAAGTTGTTTCAAAACCCGGAACCGGAAGTATCATACTTAATGGGGAAGATTTTCATTGGTGTTTTTATCGTGTGAAAAATTAGGTTATTGACCAAATGCGCTTGATACATTCGAAAATTCAATTTATTTTGTAATTAAAATAATTACTATCGATAATTTTCTTATATAATCATAAATTGAAGTAGCAAAACAATTTGTTTCTAATTCTCGTGAGAAAAACATACTTTGAACAACAGTCTTGAATTACACTCGGAACAACACGTGATGATTTGTATTATATCTCTATAATAATTTCGTGATTGCGAAGATATTTAAAATTGTTAAACACGAACGATATTCGTTTCATCGAAAGTACTGAAATGGATTGAAAGTTGAACGACGCACTTCAACGAACGATAAACTATCAGAAAAACGAAGAACAGTTCATTTGGTCACTATCGATCGTGGATAAAAGTATGTCGCGTAAATAGAAACACAAACACGATTATCGTCGAGTTTATTGTGAACGCTTTCGATTTCTTTAAATGAGAAACGAACAAAGATTTCTTAATCGCGGATACATACATTTTGATTAAAATACATATAAAGAATCGTGGGAATATTCGAAAAAATAATTGAGATTTTTCTTGAAAATACGATAGTCGGTTCAAACTAGTCAGCAGGATGGATGCGATTGTCGATCGCACACGTATGCATTTATTAAGAACTTACAGGACGGATGGTGGCAACAAGCACACAGTACGCTTCGCATAGTATACCGGAGCATATAAGTACTCGTTCCATATATACGCATATTCATACACTCTTACACGCGGCGAGCGAAGAGACGCATACACATTCGTCCGCACACTACGATAACGAATAGGAAAGAGAAACAGAGGGCCAGTAGCGAGTACATGTAGTTGTACGCGTTAACACAAATACTGATAGTAGACTAGTCACACACTCAAATACGCACGACCGTATAGGAAGACGAGCACATTCACGTAGGCATACACACACTCGACACACGGTGCAACGAGGAGAGAGAATACTCGTTGTTTACGTTCTAACATCTGAGCCGAAGAAGGTATACGGAAAATATCAAGATATGTCCCTCAATGACAAGGACCTACTGGGATTTCCTTACTCTGCTTGTGTAATCCGAAACTTCTCGCATGATAGCCTCGAACGCCGCTCTTTCCTGTGCTTCCTTCTGTTTGTGTAGCGCGATCTTGTCACTGAACTTTCGTGGATTCGCCATGATGGCTCGGCACTAGACCTTCCGACACTCGCGAGTATCGTGCACCTACTATCGTGTGCCCTCTATCCCCTCACACGTTCCTTTTTCACCAATTGCACCAATAAGGACTCCTTAAATTTCACCACGTTATAACCCGTAACCTACTGCCTTCTGGATGGCACTGCCGATCACTGATACGCAAGATTATGCGGCGCAGCGCGCCACGCGCATCGCGCAGGAGCCGCTTTTTGCGGGCTCATTGGTTACAGCAATCCCCCACCATTCTATCGCACCCGCAATAAAAAACTGACGATACTTTTCCGAGGTGTTCCGAAAGCTCGCTCTTTCGTTCGGTATTATAATGTATAACGCTGAAGATAAAACAGATTAACATAGATTCACGTCTTATTATCACATACTCGCAAACTTAACTTGATAATGAAAAATTATTTACTTTAAATTCATTTACAAATTTATTGTATTAATTTAATTTCTATTCTTATATTATATTAATAAATATATTTTTTCTTTATATTTATATTTATTATAAATAAATGCTGTTTCAAATGATAAAATATATTAATCCTATCGATTTAATGGTATAAAATTATTTTTTTAACGCTATATTTTATATATCTTTTCCATAATGAGTTTAAATAAAATATTGCATTTTCTAATTGTAAATATATTATAAATATAAAAATATTGATCAATAATTTTTACTATTTTATATTTCTGTTATATCGATTGAGAACAAAGTATCGATATATATATATATATATATATATATATAAATTATATATGTATTTGTGATTGTACATTATAAATTCTAATTATTTTACAATTAATTTTTAAACATGTGAATATTATTGTAAAAAAAATTTCTATTAAAAAAAAAATTCAGATATTAATCCAATTAATATAATTAGTATATTTTTTATTTTATAAAATAAAAATATTATTTCTTTTATAACAAAATGTTTCATATGCATTATTTTTAAGAATTTCAATAAATATGACACGTTTTGATAAAGACGCGTATATTGAATGTTTACCAATAACTATATATAATGAAATAATTAATGCATTAAATAAAGATGCAACTTGGATAATATTAGCAAATCATGTAGCTAAAGAACTTCAATATCCATGGTAAGCAAAAAGAAAAATATTTAAAGAAGAGAGAAATTAAATGTTAAATTATAATAATTAAGATAATATCCCATTTCATTTTATAAAATATAGCACTTGGGTACAATCTTTACAAGAAATTAAACATTCGAATGATTCTCCTGGACAAAAATTATTTTCTGAATTAAATATTAGAATGTGTACTATAGAAATATTATGTGCTTTATTAAATGATTGTAAACTTTATAATATTCTATCCATTATATCTGATCCAGGTATAATAATATTTATTATTTAATAAATTATATCTATATTTAATATTTTATGTATATAATGATTTTAGAACCTTTGAATATTATTATGGATCCAACAGAAGAATTTCCAATTAATATTTTGAAAGTTTCATTTGGACATCATCTTCATCTGTGCTGCAAAGCTGTTGGAATGCCACCACCAAATTACATATGGTATCATAATGACGAACAATTGCAACATTATACCTCTGATGAACTTGATCTTATTATAACTAAGTATATATTTAATATAAAAATATTTATACAACTTCTATAAATTGTTAATCAAAATGAAATTTATTTTATTTATTTCAAAGTGCTTCTCAAGCTGGAGAATATAAATGTAAAGTATTTCAAATTAAAAATGATGGCACTCTTATATCAACTTTAACTTCAAAAGCTATAATTGTTCAAATTTTTCCTATGCCTGTTATAATAGAAATACAACCCCAACAATTTTTGGAAGTTAAGGAAAATGAAAGTTTTACAATTTTTTGCAAAGCTAGTAGCAATCCTGAACCGTGTTATCAATGGTTCCACGATAATACTAAACTAGATGGAGAAACATCAAACATTCTGCATGTATGTAAATGCACTACCATTTTTTTTCTTCATCAGAATAATATTAATGTTATGAATTTTTTCTGTAATTTTAGATAAAACAATTTACTTCAAAAAATGAAGGAAAATATTATTGTTATATTCATAATAATATTAGCGAAGCTTATACTGAAAAAACTCGTATAATGGTAAAAATACATAATATTTTTTTATTAATATTAATATTATAATATTATATTATAATGTAATAATATATTATAATATATTAATTTCATATTTATTTATAGATAGATTTTCAAAGATTAAAAGCAGTTGCAAAAATTGCTTTAATTATAGCAAATGAAAAATATAAATATCATGAATGTCTATCAACACCTGAAAATGATGCTGCATGCATTGGTAATCTTCTGAAAGAAATTGGATTTGAAGTAATTTGTTTTCTCAATTTGACATTCGCTCAAATGAAAAATGCAATAGAAATATTTAGCAAAGCCTTAGTAGAAGGTGTATATGGTAAAGTGTAAAAAATAAAAATAAAAATAAAAAATAAAAATATTTTTTAAATTATTACTTAAATTATATCTTTTTATATAGGTCTATTCTATTTTGCTGGTCATGGTTTTAAAATGCAAGAGAGTTATATGCTTGCAACAGATGCTCCAGAAAGATATTTAAGGAAAGATGCAATATGTGAAAGTGAACTATTGTCCGCATTTCTTAAAAATAATCCTGAATTATTAATTATTATTTTAGACACATGTCAATCTTTACCTTCAAGGTAAATACTTTTTTTTTATTTTATTTATTTTCAGTCGTTTTTGCATTTCATTAATCTATCTATTTTTAGAGAATTTAATCCTGAAATATATCAGGAGGTGCCAATAGTAAAAGAATATAAAAGTAAAAAGAATCTTAGAAATTTAATTCAAGCATATTCTACATCTAGTTATCGTCCTAGTTATGAAAAAATTGACAGTAAATATAGTTTATACATGACACACCTTAGCAAATATATTAATAAAGATATAACAGTTACAAAATTATTTGAAGAAGTTGGAAAATGTAAGTTATTGTAAATATAATATTATACATTTTGCATATATAATTTATATTTAATTCTTTTATATTTATATAATATTTAAATAATTTTATTTTTTATTTTATATTTTATTATAATTATTTATAGCTATTGATAGTTGTTTCAAAGGCAAAGAAAGAAATCAGATTCCAATGTTTGCTGCATCTATTACAAAGCCATTTCGTCTGATTGATGCTATTTATAAAAGTAATTTTATTTAAACCCATTATATATTTATTATTAACAATGTTTTAATTTTATTATTTCAACATAATTCTTGAAATATTATAGAAAATCGTCCAGACATCATTGATCATTTATATAAACTTACATCATATTCAACTCAAACGATAAACGTGATATTTAAACAGGCAAATATATCCAGTACAATTACAATATCATTGTTTATGGAATTATACTTAAATGTAATAGAAATTAAGGCACATGACTTATCAAATATAGAAGTCAAATTTTATAATTCTGTTCCCATGGAACCAAATAATTTGTTTCAAGATTTCTATGAAAAAAAATGTTTGATTCACAATCCTCAATTAAATGAGGTATGTGTTTTTTAGTTGTTATAGAAATATTTTGTAAATTTATATAGATTTATGTTACAGAAACCTCTTATAATAACTATATGGAAAAATAATATTCCTATTGGTGCAATAGAATTGCATATAAAAAATTATATACCTCCCATATTGAAAAACATAAATATTTGAAGAAAAATATATTTATTTTGGCAAATCTAGAGAAAAAATTTGATACATATAATTAAATATTATGATTTTAGAAATTTGTGCCTTTTATAATTATATTTTTATACTTTAAATAATTTAATGTCAAATAATTTATATTTTTATAAAATTATTAAATGAAATTATCTTATAATCTCTAATGTAAACACTCAATAATATATAAAAAAAAATATTTATTCTAAAATGTAACTAATCATTTATTTTAAAGTAAAAATTTTATTTAATTATATAACAGTTGAAACCTATAGAGTATAATCTGTTGTATGATTGACTAGTCTTGCTATCCATGCTCCTCCTTCACTATTTGTATACGTTCTTTGAAATATATAATTACAACATACAATTTGAAATTGTGAAGTTTCATAAAATTTCATATAAAATCCATTTATTCCTATTTCAACAATTGTTTCATTGTTATCTATAATAGAATTAAATATATGAAAACAATAACAATAAAAAATATGATTATATTATATAAAATTACCTTCAATCTTTTTTGTTTTTATAAGATCTGGTACCAATATAAAATTATCAACATTTATACTTATTAAATCACGTTGGTTTTGTGTAAGGTCATCAACGTTACGTTTTAATACTTCTATAGCTTTTTCTGTTACTATACCATCTAATGCTTCATAGTTTTGAGCAACTAAAGCATTAGATATTACTTCTATTGCCTAAATTAAATTAATTGTATTATAATCAATTAAACATTATCTATTCGAAATTAAATACGTTATTACAATTAATTATATTTCGTAAAATGCACTAATGTCAACAAACATATTATACCTGACGAACTCCTTGCATAAATTCTTTAAAACGAAACTCTTTGTCAATAGTTGAACGTATAAGGTAATATGACCAAAACATCTGAAAAATAGACAAACCTAGGTCTTCTTTCGGTTTCCACATTAACGGTGGCAATTTAATTTGACTTTCGTTTTGCTTTTGATGAGTACAGAATGACCTATGCATGCTGAAACTTGGGTTTATCAAATTTGTACATTTCGATTCTGTCCAGTAATACATTGTTTTTATTTTCACTTGAGAGCTATTATGCATATGAAACATTACAAGTTGTCGCATTCGTGTGTATACGCATTTTCTCAATCGAAATAACATTTTTTAATTCCGATGATATGAATACGAACAATGAATTATATATGCATATATGTATTATTCTAACCTATTCGAATCATAATATTAATAATACGTACAATAATAAATATATATAATAATATATATGATTTAATAAATATTGTTATAATAATATTACACTGTTTTATAAATTTGTGTTTTTAAATTATATATATAATTATTCATTATTTATACGTTTCATTCAATGTTTTTCAAAAAAATGGCGCCAGCTTGACTAAACTGATGAAAGTATTTATATATAAAATTGAAAATATTAAGTTACGTTTACAAATATTTTTATGATATATCTAATAGAAATATCTAAATACAATTTTTATATAATATAACATATAATATATCACAAAAATTTTAAGTTTTTTAATTTAAAATTTTTTAAATTTAATAAAAATTTTATAAATTAATAAGATAATTATTAAGATAAAATTTTTTAATATAACCAACATATTGAATAATATTAATGTAACATTAGTTAGTTAGTTTTATCATTTATATATATGATATATGCACTTATAAATTAAGTAAAATAAGTATATGTTAGTTTCAATTCTATATCATATTTTTTCGAAGTTCATACACATTTTGATTCATGCTTAATTACATACTTAATTGAGGAATTGACTTTAATTATAATTTTTATGTATCTTAAACGTGAATTTAATTTATAATTAAAAACAATGAGACTCATAGGTACGTTATTTGGAAAGATAGGTGAATGGTCTAATAAATATGCGAATTTACCAGATCGCTATATAGATCGTATTACAGAACGGGTATGTATATTTGTTTTATATACGTGTTTATCATTGTTTATTATTTTATATATACATTTTATTTAGATTAGAAAATAATATTTTAAATATAGGTATATTGGAAACCCCCACCTGGTAAACCACAATTTCTTCCACGAAAAATAGTATCAAGAAAGAAATTGCATTTTTCTATGTATCGTCCTTGGACTACAAGTTTTCAGTTTGAAAATTGGCTTAAAAAACGTCGAGAATATATTCCGATTGAACCTATAAAAAATTGGAGTTTTTTTCGTGGAGATCGTGTATGTAGTTTATACATATATAAATATTTATATATTATATAAAAATAAACAGCATTAAAATATTTTTAGGTAGAGATATTAATTGGTCCAGATAAGGGAAAACAAGGAATAGTGCAAGATATCATTCAGGAAAGAAATTGGATTATTGTACAAGGATTAAATACAAAGGCAATAATACGTGGAAAAAAGAAAGATTTCCCTGGAATTTGTATACGTGTGGAACAACCATTATTAGTTACTAGAGATGTACAATTAGTTGATCCTTTCGATTTGTAAGAATCATTATAATTTCTAATTTCTAAAACAAATATGGATTATTAGAAAATATATATTTATATCTTTAATTTTATTTTAGAAAAGGAACTGTTATAGAATGGAGATATACAGAAGAGGGAGAACATGTGAGAGTATCTTGTAGAACTGGTAGAATTATCCCAATTCCTGTATCTAGTAAAGAAACTGTAGATTACAAATCTCCAGAATTATATGTCGAGCAATCTAAAGATACTACTGTAAATAATGTAGAAGAATTGACATTCGAAGTAAGTTTTATATCTAATAAGAATATGTAATTAATATAATAATGTAATTAATAATTTTGATTTTTATTAATTTATAGGCAAAATTAAAAACATTTGAAATGGATATTATGGATAAAATGGGTATTAAAGAAGATCGTAAACCAAAGAAATATTATTGGTATTAATTTTGTTGAATGTATAATTAACATTTTACAAACATAGTCTTTGATGTATATATAAAACTTCAAACTTAAAGCGTTGTTAAATCTGTGTTTTATTTTGTTATTATTGCTGAAAATTATTTTAAACTTAATCGAAAGAAAAAGAGCAAAGATTTTTTCCATAATCGCATTAGAAATATTTATAAAATAATATCTATGAAATAATATAAGATATCGAAGAGTTGATCTAATAACATTTAGAACATTTAACTGATAAAATATTTATAATATCAGTTTATTCAAGAATTTATTAAAGACAAGCCATTTTTATTATTATGCTTATTACTTTTATATTAACACACATACATATATCACAGCATGATTTTTAACAAACGCGAACCTAGAAACGAATGTCAGTCTACATTTAAATACTTCAATGATGCATTATATTAACATTTCTTTCTTTTTTTACATTATATATGCCATATTTCTAAAATAATTATATTTTGAATTTTTGCACTTTTTATTTACAAATTAATTTCTCTATTTCATAACATCGTATTAAACAGAAACATGTTTATACATACGTTGTTCTTTAGATCAAACTTCAATACAAACTAATAGTAGATGATTAGGAAAAGCATTCCTCGCGTATGCAAACGGACGTTACACATTTGTACTCAATGGTACAACAATACCGAAAAAAAGAACTTTTTCTCGCAAAGATTTTCAAATAATTATTTAGCGATATAATCTTGATATACACGCATATATATATAAGCAGAATTTATGAATCCTAAATAAATTTCCAACGAAATATTTGATTATTCTATTTTTTGAAAGTAGATGAAAAGATACACTAAATAGTCGCAATAGAATCCGATTTCGAACACAAGAATCATCCAAACGCATTGTATCGTTCAAATTCGATATAAAAATTGTATTCTATGAAACCATTGCACTTGTTTGAAATTCGTTGTATTGCATCCATGGTGTCACGATATACATATAACACGTTTATCGGAATTGACTACTATTTACGACGATTTGGTGGCAGGGTGCCTGACTAGGAGGTTCACTTCGCCGTCGTGTAGTTTCTTCATGAGAGACCACGCTTCGATTCTTGACATACGTGTCACATCATATCCATTCACTTGTAATAACTGATCCCCTGCCTTTAAGGCACCTGTTTTCTCAGCAGCACCTCCTACATCACAATATTTATTAGATATACAATTTTAAAATGCGATTATCGACAGAAAACACAACATACCGGTAAATATTTTTTTGATCAACAATGGCCTGTCCCCAAGGGGACTGTCTCTACCTCCTTCAAGACTGAATCCCAAACCAGTTCCGTCCTTATAAACCGCTACAATCGACGGTGGACCCCACGCAGTGTCCTCTGCAGTATCGTTCGTCTCGAATCCTTCGAGAACAAAATCTGCTCGGTTATTATATAAATAAATCTTTTTCCTTTAACAAAATTTTTTGAAAATTCGAATCTCACCTTCGATGATAGTTTCGACGCTCGCGGTTCGTGATTTCAACTTGCACGATCCTTCCTCCGTCCTCGATCGAGAGACAACCAAAACAACTTCCGATCTGGGCTGCTTGAGCACCGCTATGCTCTCTCTGTGCGTGAGACCTTGCGTGCTTCTTCCGTTTATACTCAGAATCCTATCCCCTCTTTGCACACGACCATCCTTGTCAGCTATAGAATGGGCCAGAACTCGATGAATAGTGATTTCCTTGATCTCGCAATCCGCTCCTCCGGCCAAAGTAATCCCAACGCTACCGGTTGGATTCTCCTTGTGAAGCAGCACAACGATCACATCGTGAGCACCTCGAGTTTCCTCCAGACTCGCCTCTTCGACCAGCTGCGCCAATTCTTGTTGCGAGATCAAACTGGTGCTGCTCGCCAACGAACTGATACTTCCAAATTGTTCGCCGCAACATCTATCCGTGTCCATATCGATTCCAACCGGAGACACATTTTCATCCACGCTACTATCCAAACTCGGAAACCGGTTATGACCAGTTCCGACGCTCTGCATTTGCGCATTACCGGTAGAGTTCACCTCCACAGCCTTCTTCATATCCGTAACACTGACGCTTCTTCGACCAAGATTTCTCGATGTTGGAATTTTCGACAACGTCGATTTCGATTTCTCCACTTCCATCATCTCGTCCGCGCTATTGTCAGCCAATCTTGATTTTTCCAACGTTGACAGTTTCGAGAACGATTTATGATCCTCGTTCCAATACTCGTTCAACGTGCTCGAGCTTCTTCTGATGTATCGATTGTCCCTCGATTCCCATAAAGATTTTCCCAGATTGCTCTGACTGTTCGAGAAAACGTTGCTCTTCTCCGTTCTCGTCTCGCCGCTTTGACCTCGTGACGATTTCGTCTCCGCCTTCGCGCTTAGGATATCCTCCAGGCTCATCTGACTCTTGGACCGGCCAAAGCTTCCCTCGTCCACGTGTATCGCCGATCTAGATCTGCTCTTGGTCGTGAGAATCGTCAATAAATCGTTCTGATCTTCGGAAGATTTCTTCGGAGGTACGATCGGCGCGCAACGTGATTGCTTCGTTAACCTGGACTCATTTTCGTTTTCCTGGATTCGTCTCGTACTCGGCGAGGACAGATCGGCCGAGCCATATCGTTGCTTCTCGATCGTGGCAGATTTATTATTGTTCCTCCTCTGATCATTATCCACGGGATTGGAGACATCGATATCGGCCGACTTTTTCTCCGCTTTATCGATCGGCTTCTCCTCGACCGACCTGACCAGAGCCTTCGCCTCCGCGCGAACCCACATTTTCAAATCGTTCGAGGGTTCCATCGTCTCGAACTTGGACGGCCTCGCGGCCACGTTATTCGAAGGCGAAGCGGCGCTCATCTTCAAAGGCGAGTCAGATCGTTCGGTCATTTTTTGAAAAGGATCCTCCTCCTCCAATGGATCCGTCACCTCGATGTAAGCGATCTTCACCACGTCCTTCGCACTCGAAACGCTACTTTTGCCCCGATTTTTCTGATAAGCATTTTCTTCCCCGTTCTCGGCGGTGGCGATTATCGATCGCCCCTTGTCGTCGGGAAACTTCCTTTGGATCAGTGGCGATCCATTCAAATCTCTGCCGCTACGGCATCTAGCGCTCGCCAGAATGTTCTTCCGATTTATGGCTTCCACGCTCTGCGGTTTAAGCACCCTTCGGGACAGTGACTCGGCGCTCGCCTGAGAGCCGGAAGTGAGAGTCGAAGAGGTGCTGCAATTAGTGTCGGTACTGTTCGATCGTTTCAACTGTCTCTGAGGTATTTGAGAGTTTCTTTGAGAGCCGTCCATAGTGATCGCGTTCGATCTGCCACCGAACTCTATTACGTTCGATTCTCTGGCTTGGTTGTAGGTTCTGTCTATGATCAGAGAACGACGTTGATAATTGTTCTCCGTGGACACGTAGGACCTCTCGGACGAAATGGTGGAACGTTCCGAGGGGACCGGCGACGTGGGCGGGCTGAAGCCCCGAGATATGCTGCTCTGCGAGCTGCTCACAGCCGAGTCGTTATCCGAGTCGTCGTAGTCCATCCTCGTTTTCCTCTGCGCGGTTCTCGGCCTGTTGTTACGCGATCCCTCGGGCGAGCTGGTGGTCGACGCGTACTCGAAGCTGTAATCGCTTCGCGTCGGGCTGCAAATGCTCTCCAAACTCTTGGGAGGTTCGCAAAGCGGCGGCGTGGAGATAGTGGTGACGGGCGAGGGAGTTTTCACGATGCTCGCGCTGTTCATCGAGGAAGAATTCGAGGACGAGGACGTGCCGTACACGGTCAGACTCTTTCTTTTGAAGGCCGGCGAGTATTTCGAGTGTATTTGGGGAGCGGGCATCTTGAAAGAAGTTGCGCTCCTCAGAGGTGCACTGGCCGTGCTGGCGTTGCTCGCTAAGGAACTTTGAGAGCCCCACTTGTCCTGAATGTTCACCTTTGGTAACACCTGTGGACAACGTAACAACTTATATATTTTCATTTATCCATTTTTATTCCGTTCTCCTCGCGAGCAATCGAACAAGAACACGCTTACCTGATGCAACAGTATCGAGTCCCGGGATTTGATCTCGGGTAGGTCGACGATGGGCGTGTCGATCGTTATGGTCTCCTTCTCGGGGATGACCAATCCTCTCAACTTCGAGATCGACCTCTTCCTCTGCTCGATCAATTGATTCAAACTGTTCCTTCTTAAACTGTCCTCGGTGGGCCTCTTGAACGTGGACGCCAACGAATTCGTCCTCGCGATCGCCAACGTCGGCGCGAGATCGGTGGCCGTCGAGGTTCGATCCTGATGCCCGTACGCGGACGACGAACCGGAGAAACTCGTGGCGCGGGACAACGCAGCCGACGCGATACCCGGTTTCATCGTGGCACTCGGATTTTGACTCGTGGTCGTCGAGATGTAACTCTTCACCGGCGATTTGGGTATGTTCGAGGATACCTCGAACGAGGGACTCGTCAACGGCGCGTTGGCGCCGGTCGTCGAGTTGCCGCTTACTGCTTGTCTCTGCGGGGGAACGACGGGGAACGTTTTCGAGGCAACGTTGAACGCGTTGAACGTGGCGGCCAACGGCGATCGCTGCCTGTTGTACCTCTTCCCCGGATCCTGGCTGCCAACGTTTCTCCCCGAGTCGGTCAGATCGAACGAGCTCTGCGTCCTGTCCCCGAAAAACGAGATCCTCTCCTTCTGCCCGCAATGTTTCTCGTCGCTGCACACATCCTCCGTCGACTTGTACTTGGACAACCTCCTGTTGGTCGCGACCATCACCGCGTTGGGGAAGAGGGGGCCGTCCAGGCTGCTTTGGGACGAGAACATCGCGATCTTGTCCCTGACGGATCGTTCAGACTTGTCGTCCTGCCTCCACAATTCACCGTTCAACGTGAATTTTCTGGGCGTCGACTCGAGGATCGGGGCGCTCCTCGCCGCGTACGAGGAGGGGCAAACGGTATGGTCGATCTTGGGCGGGCCTGTAACGAAAACACGGACGAATTAGAAACAACGTTCGAGGACGAAAGGAAACGCCGGGGCGATGAAACGCGGAAGGAAGGAAGGAATGTTTACCGGTGAGCGGTAGCGGTGGGGGCGTGTCCAACCCGTCCTTTTCGGCGTGACGATCCTGCGCCTCCTCGATAACGGTGGTGGCCACGTCTTTGTGATAATATCCGGTGATCTCGATCTTCTTCTCCGACACGAGGATACCCCCCTCGCCTTGGCTCCCGTAGCAACCAGAAGCGGCGGTTGAGTAAGCGGCGGTTACGGACGTAGCCTTTTTAACGAACTCGTCCTTCCCGATGTCCTCTCGAGTCAAAACAGAGACGGTGTTGCCGCTCGCGTCTTGACAACGGACAACAACGTTCTCCCGCTCGCCCATCTTCCCTCCCATCATCTCCACACCCGGCATCTCCAGTTTGCCCACCACCTCCTGGCAAACCGGCAACCCCTCCACAAGACCCGGGATTCTGTTTGTCTCGGATTGCAGAATGATACCGGTGCCGGTCACCACGTTCCCCTCCAGCAACTTGTATCCCTCGTTCTCGTTGCACACGAGGCGACCGTTCGCGATCATCGACGTCCTCGCCGTCGCGGTCCCCGTCGTCGTCACGAAACGGTACTGCTGCTGTTGCTGCTGCTGCTGTTGCTGTTGTTGCTGCTGCTGGCCACTGTTCCCACCGAACTCTTGGTAGGCTGCTGGAACTCGTCCCCGTCCGGGGGCAGGCGCTGACCGCCTCCGCAGTTGTCCATCCTACCATTTACCGTCTCTAAAATCACACACGATCGTCGTAGTGTCGGTTATCGCGTCTCCTCTCTTCTCTCCTCCCTCCTCTCTCTCTCTTTCTCTCTGTTCGAATCGTCTCGAATACATTCCAAGAGTAAATTCGAGCCAGTGCTCGTTGATAGATTTTTCATTTCTTGCGATCGAGAAAGGACGCGAGTCGAGGATCGGATATCATCGATGCGCGATTACGAATTATGTAATTGTAAACGGTTTAGAAATTTGCATGCACGCGCGTCCTGACGATTCTTTCTTCGATCACGATCCACCTCCCCCGGATCCCTGTAAATTCGTTCCAGGCGAGTAGGAGTCGGCGTGCCAGTGGAGCCGAACGGGTTCACGCTCTCGTGCACCCGACGAGGAGATCGATGCCGCAACACGTCGCTCTTTCGATCCACACGCGTCGTTGCTCCCGCGATCTCTCGAACGGGAACGTTGATCCGTTCGAGCATTTCAAATACGCGAGATTTCCAGCCCGGAGAGGTGGGAGAAACGTTGAACGAGTGCTGCTGCGACGCTCGTGACGCTCGAAAACGTTTTAACTCAAACGTTTGTTATTCTTTTATTTTCTTTTTTTTTTCTTTTCTTTAACTTCAACTTTGTCGTTTATCGTCTCTTCGCAGCCAATACAACCGAGATAGGAATTTCAATCTACGCAATTGAGATATTCGTTCCGTAACCAGCCACGCTATATATATATATATATATATATATATATCGTGTTGTTATGATTCGCGTCCACTCGTGTTTAGACTTTTAACTCGTTATACTCGTTTCGAATCGAAGGTCGCCGAGACCAGGATCCGGAAGAGAACGAGTCATTCCAATTGCTTTCTAAGGTCAAAATATCAAACAGAGAGAGAGAGAAAGAGAGAGAATAACACAACAAATGTTGCACATATATATGTGTATATATATCGCCAATTGAACGAAGCTTTGAAAAAGAGGAGGAGGAGAAGGAGGAGAACCGAGAACCGAGAAAACGAAGGCATTGGAAAATTCGAAAGTTTTCTCGAAAGGGATTTTTGAAATTTGGAAATTTTTTCGAGAGGGGAAACGAGTCGCGGTTATCGTGGCTTACTTTCACGAGGGATTATGCGGGCAGTTAGGAAGGGAATCAGACGTGTCCGGAGCGGATCCCTCGCGAGCACTCGCTCGAATCCAAGGATTTCTACATTCTAACGCGCGCACCCACTGATAAATCGCGCGTTATCCGCGCTCCAGCGCCACTCGTGTCACGCTTGGCCGGTTGGAATCGGAAAATGTACGAGGGAAAAGGTTGGCGCTGTTCTCTCCCCGGTTCTCGGCGACGGAACCAAGCTTCTTTGGATTTCAATAAATAATTAATTGGCGTGCTGTTAATGGAAAGTTCATTGGCATATCTTTGCTCGCGCGTTAAATATGAATAATAACGAAATGAGAACGAGGATCGCTGTGCTTTCTTAATCGACAGGTTTAATGTTTGCGAGTTTTTGAAGATACTTTGCGCGCTTACTGCGTGTGGAGGAAAAGTAGGGAGACCGAACGATTTAAACGGATTCGAAGGCGCGTGATGAATCGTTAATTCTATCTTCGAAGATGACGAACTGCGGGAATGTTTACGCGGAAAAGATGCGCAGATATCGCCTTATCCTTCATACGATCTTTCGACTTGTCACGTCCAACTTTCTTGCGAATGAAAATTTACAGAATCGAAGGCGAAAATTAATATTTTCCCATAGGAAAAGAGTATTCTATAACGTTTGAATTTTTTTCTTTTATTTATAAATCCGCATTTTCCATTATCCAATATACGTCATCGACCATTTCCAAACACGGATCGAACCGTGAAAGATACCGCCTCGTTCAAAGCTTTCATTGGAAAGGCGAACGGAATTCGAAGAACTAATGAAACGGTTCTTGCACTTTATGCGTTCGAGAGTATTTTGCCTTTACAACTTTGCTCGACGGAAGAAAGCTTGAAGAATTGTCAAACGTTGTAAATACGCGCGAATACCATCGAAATGGAAGGGAACGGAAAAAGATAGAAAAAAAAAAGAAAAAAGAAAATAAAAATCGACGCGAGTTTCGTTTCGCGATACGTTGCACCACGTGCAATCCATCGGATGCGCCACTCGCTGGCAGAAGAGCAACTCGATCAACGAATTATATAATTCGCGAAGACGAGTCGCGCCTACGAGTTTCCCGCTTCTGTCTTCTTCCGCTCGTGTTTCGTTTCTCCGTCAATTTTTTTCGAAATGTTTCTACCTAAAGATATATAGAATTTTAGGACGAAGTTGAGAATGTTTCGATTCCAACCAAATTTCTTCTTCAAACTCTGCTCGTGCCGGTCGATCTTAGATATCGATTGGATCGCCACATCGACGTCGCGTTTGACGCGTATCCGTCCACAGTTCACGGATGGTTCGAATTTCCGAGCTCAGGTTAGGTTAGATCCCTTCCCTCGAAATATCGCGGTTTGCAAACTGCTTCCAGTCCAATCTCCAAGGCTCGCGGATGACAAACAAGGATACAAAGCCGAACGATCCTAGATTCTTCTAATTCTAATCGATCGACCGAAACATCCTTCCACCTTGGCTTGGCTTCCGACGATCGCGCGATCGATCGATCTTCGCGTTATTACGACGACTTACGACCTCGACTCCGTCCGAGAACCGGGCTTCGGCCAGGAAGCTGCCCGCTTCGTCAGGCTTCTCCGTGAATGACATAACGTTGTTGCATCGAATCGAATATCCTCGACTCGTACGGACATTCGGCACTGCACACTTCGATTCTTCGACACTCGCTCGACCGAACCAAGCTTGGAAAAGGGAGGAGGAGGAGGAGGAGAACGAATTTCAGACGGATTCGAAGCAAAGGTTGAGAAGGGGGGAGGGAGGAGGACTGGTCGTCGTTACCGGCAGGAAGGCTCTCGCGAGACTGGACGACATTGCTCGTCGAGGCCAGCTTCCGACGGTTACCGCCGACATCGAGCGTTACACGCGGCGGGAGGAGAAGGGATAAAGCGGACGTGTCACACGCGGGCACACGTTTTTCGAGAGATCCGCTTCGATTACGAAATCTTTATTTTTCTCGGCCGACCTATCTCGAATCTCTTCCTCTTCGTTTTCTACCATCGAAACAAGTAGGTTTCGGTGTTTCTGTCGAGAAGAAGCGTTCACCGACGAACTAACCTAATGTTTCGTCATTGCGTCCACTTAATATCATATCTTATCCAGATATCTTACTCGGGTTTCGTTTTTGTCGAATTTTACCCTTAATTAATTAATCAACGCCGCTTCCTTCGAGAAGAAGGAATTTACCAGAGAAAAATAGTCGCGAACGGATAGATGATTTTTCTGGAAATTGCGCTCGTCCTTGGCGGGTAAAAAGATCGACGCGGATTCGCTCGATATCGCCGAGCTCTTTCATTCTTGCGCAATCGTTGCGTTCTTTTGTCGCCTCGTCATCGCGATGGAATGATCGATCGTTTTCGATTCCAACTTCGTCTCCGTTTCTTCCACTTAACGTTCCCATTGTCGTTCCTCGGAACGCGCATTCGTCACCAAATCGGCCCCGTGCGACCGCCGCGATAAGCAACCATCTTCTTATTCGCGACGTGGCAATGAGTCACGCAGGTAAATACGCTTCGCTTCGCTCGAGAAAAAAACCGATAAATATTTTTTAATTCGCGCGCGTCGAGAATCGTTCGAAAAAAAAGTCGATCTATTCTTCTTATTTATCTGTGCATCGAAAAACCCGACGATTGTCTTCCCCGGATACCTAAGCCTTGGAAAAGTGGGACGCAACTTGATACGCGGTCGAACCGCGTCGAAGGGTTGATATCACGTTGCAGATCTAAAGGAGCGACCTCGCCGCGCTACGTTTCGCCTGTTGCTCGCTCCAGCTCCACTATTTATATCGATTATCGAGACGAGAGGAAATCGAGATGATCGCGAAATTCGTTTCTTTATCATCGCCGTCGTCGTTCGGGACGTCGATCGGCGCGAGACGAGAAATTCGATCGGTTATTCGAACCGATGCTTACGCTTATTCGACGCGTAATTCGTGCGTCCCAACATCTCGTCGAGGAAGGAGAAGGAGAATCGCTTTTCCATCCTCGAGTCGGACAGCTTCGAAGAAAACGATCCTTTTAACCCTTCCCGATTCGCCCGTGTGAAACTTTTATATTTCTTTACCGTATAAAGAAGGAAAATTTCTCGAATATTAGAGAACTATATCGTTGTTGCTTCGCGCGATATTTTTAATGATAAAGTAATTGATACGATTTGTCTATTTTTCTATCGCCGATCTCTTAACGAATCGAAATAACCTCGTCTCACTCAAAATCAAACTCGCTCGAATCAATTTCGTTATTCCACCTATACAAAACTCAGAAACTTTGGAAAGTAATACTTCTATCGCCACGAACTAACGTCGAATACAGATCTTAGGAATCTATTGATTTTGAAAAAAAAAACCAAGCACAAATAAATATCGATCCAACTGGTTGAAACGGAAAGCCGATATCCCTTTTGCTTTCTTCCGCCTTGACGATTTCCTTAACTTTAATTTTATTAACAATCGAGCTTCCCCGAAACTTCACGGATCGCGAAAAGGAGCGGCCGCCCGTTGTTTTCCGCTAAATTTACTTTCGACCAAGCGGCGCTGGCGACGGCCACTTTCAACGTGGCTCCGATCGGGCGGAGAGACCACACGCCGAGGGCCGGGTAACCGGATCCTCCCTCGACCCGTTTCGACCGACCAGTTCTCCGCGCTCTATTCGCGAAAATTAGCCCGATCGAATCCGTTATCACGCGTTATCAGCAAGGAGGAAAGTGTCGCGCGTTTCGATCCATCTATTCTGCGCGCGAGAAAGTAACGATCGAAACGATGCTCTCCTATTTTTCCTTGTCGTTAAATACTTTTGGCTCTAAACGAAGAAAAAAAAGATAATCGAATGATAATACTGGAAAATATGATTCCAATTATTTTACATACACTCAAAATTTATATTGAAACTCGACCAATTACATTCAACATTTTGTTCGAGGCGGAAGGCTTATTACTATAAGGATAAGAAGTGTGTTTAGTCTATTTTTATTCGAACGATAGTAGAGGCGCAGTTAAAGAAGAATGAATTTTCGATCGATGGGACAAAATTGTAAAGAACAAGAACGGAGGGGGCATTGGCATTGAAACGAGTGACGCTTCGTGGGAGCGGTTCGGGAAACGAATCACACCTCGAGAATCTTGTCCAATTAATTTTTTACACGGCACGAACCGAAACTCGACCCGTATCCACGCTTACACGGATATAACTGCACGATGCAACTCGAGAGCTCTACCTCGATTCACAAAGATCGAAGCTTTTCACCCGCTCTTTCCCTTCGTTCGACGCCTTTTTTCATTCTCTACGAGAGACTACGCTTCTTCCTCGTTTCTTTCACTTCACGGCGACGTTCCACTCGCCGATCGCTTTTTATATATGAACTACCCGACAGATCCGCGATATACCTTTTAATCGATCGTTGTGACATCAGTCTTTATCCGACCCGGCTGTGCTCTCCTTTATCGCGTTAAATTAACAATAACCTCTTATCGCCTGTTTTCCTCCCAGTTTCGCCCGTGGCGAATCGGGCGGAGGCAGATAACGCAGGAACGCAGGAGAAAATATGAGCACAATCGGTGACTGAAGTTTTTTACAGCAAGTTACCGCACCTCCCTTTTCCCGTTTCGCGAAAATTCTCCTGAGGGGATCCACCTCTCGGAGAGAGGAGGGGAGAAGAATCGTGAGAGATAAGAGGAGAAGGTAGGCGTTCGTTACCCCGACACGTCACGAGCTCCATCTCAATGCGAAGTTCGCGATCGAGGGCGAATTCTTGGTGGACTTTCACCGAGCGGTTCGAAGGACGGGCCGATTGAATCATCGAGAAAGGCCTCGTGGGATAAAAATATGTGGGATACGTTTCGAGGAAGGATTTTTTCGCTTACCTGAGTGGCGATTTTCGAGGCCTCTGGCCGGCTCCGAGGATGGGAAATTCGCGTTGTCTACCTCGTCATTCCGTGCTGAAAGCAGACAAGAAAGTGAAACCGAGGTTGGGAATTCGACTCGAGGGAAATTGCGTTTGTCTCTTTCTCAAAAGCATGATTGCGAAACGCATCGCGGACGGACGACGTTTCAATTAAGAAAAATTACCGAGCGGAACGAAGAGAGAGAAAAAACTGGCGCGCACAAACAGACCAGTGATAATGAATCGAGGTAATAGGTTGGCGGGCACAGCTGCACGATTGACTCTCGTTGACCCCTCCCTCCCCGTTTATTAAACACATCCACACGCGCGTGATTATTTCCGAGTCGCCATCACGCACTTCATTCAAATACGCGGAACTTCTCTTCTCTTGATCGCTCAATCAACAGATCCCTATCCTTCTTATTAATTCGATCTCTGTCGTTTCTCCTTCCTCGCCTCGTTCTCGTTCGATCGAGGCGAGGAAGGAGAGAAAATTGGGAAAGGCGGTCCCTCGAGAGGTGCTCTCTGCGCCAGATTTAAGGCGGGAGCGATATCGCCCGGTTTACGAGTTGTTGTTACGCCGCGTCGTAAACCCGCGATGGCGCGGTACCAGCGTTATGATTCAAGCTTGCGGCCTAATCGACCGTTAAAATTCCATGTCCGTTTCAATTTTACGGACACCTTCGGTTCTAAGATCGGGGATGGGGTGGGGGGAGGAGTTTTATCCGCGATAAAATTTCGCAAAAATCGGGGGAAAAAAATGTTATATTCATACGACGCGTGTTTGCGTAACGATGATTGAGACGATCTCTCTCTCTCTCTCTCTGTTTCTTAAGACGAACGGATCGAAGGAAGGAACGAACGAAGAGGTCTCGACGAAAGGCCTGGGCGGGAAGTTGACATTAAGGGTTCGAGAGAGAGAGAGAGGAGGGACGAGGCGGACGGAACGAGGAAGGAGGAGGAGGAGGAGGAGG